CGGGGTTCCCAGGGGTTTCTTTTTTGGTGGGGGGGGGATTCCCCCCGGGGGGGGCTTTTTCTTTTCAAAATTTTGGGGGAAAGGTTGGGGGGGGGGGAAAAAAGGGGATTTCTGGGGGGGTCCGCAGAACTTTCCCCCGCCCAGGGGAATTTTTTCCGTTGGGGGGGGGGGGGGGGGGGGGGGGGTACAGAATGGCCGTAGACGCCGGGTGTATGTCCCGACCAGGCCTAAATGCAACAACGCGGATTTTTTGTTAACGACCACGAAGCCGCTCCGAGAAAGGGGGGCGGTTGAGGGTGGATCCTCGGGGGGGGGTTATACCCACCCAGCTGAAGAGGGAAGGAGGCGTTGTGTGTTGCGGGTGGGGGGCATTGTTTATTCGAGGCGGAAATGGCTGTGTACGATTTATTCACCAAGAAAATCGCGTTCGCGCGGTTTGAAAATTCGGGACACAGAGGTGGGGCCTAGCGTGTTATACTCGAAGCCATTTGTCGATATCAGGAGAGCCGAAAGGCAGATGCCGGTAATTGCCTGTTTCTTACCGCGGGGAAAAAGTAGGTTTGATTTGTGGCGTATGTAGCCCTCGATTTTAGAAAAGAAACGAAGGGGTCGGCGCTTTGTTTGTCGTTGTCGTGGTGAAAGCACTTCACGCGTGTTGATTGTTGTTGTGGTCCCTCGTTTGGGTGGCGGTGTGCGTTTTTTTTTCTGTTTGCTAGCGGTCTCGCATTAGAACGGCGGCCGCCTCCCCGGTATCCCAGAAAAGAGGCGTGTTGTATCTCGTGTTGTGTTTTGTGTTGATGTTTCGTGGTCGCTTGTTTTCTTCTCTGGGTAATTTTTGGTGAGTTATGATAAATCGGTTGAGAGAAGCTTTGGAGACGAAAACCGCTCTTTTTCTCGTGCGAGCTTCTTCATGCGTCTTGTTCATATTTTTTGTTGTGTGGTCATCATCAGCGTTAGCCGTAGGGGCGCGAGAAGATTACTGTCTACGGTAACGGTTTTGTGCTCGCACGTGCGGTTATCAACGAGAACTGGTACTTGTAGTTTACACGGAATGTTTTGTATAATCCAGCAGCTCACCTACGTACAGCAGTAGCACACGCAGCCGGGAATAAACGAGGGTGTTTGAAGCGACTCGGGATCCAGAGCGTACCATGGGGGGTGCTTGTGCGAAGCGTTTGCTCGCGTGATTTCTCAAGCGGGCGTTGTTTTGGTGCGGTTGGGGGCGTCTGGGGGGTGGGGGTAGTAGTTTGTGTCATGAGAGGACCCCTTGGAGAAACTAACCGGGTTTCGCGTTTTAGGACAAGCGACTTGGAAACACTTGTGGGGACTTGGAACTACGGGAAGACGGATATATGGAGTGTTTCTTTATCACTTAAGAATAGTGTGGACTGCAGTATATTTGTCGGAGAGTGAGTGTCCGTGGAACAACTACGTGGAATGGATGGGTGTGTGAGGTTCACCAAAAGTAGTGGAAAAATCTACGAGCAGGACGGACACGTGCGGGGGACTAACAAAGTTTTCTTTCTGTATTCATACCACCTACCTGTTGCCTATACCGCGCAGTACCAGGGTTGGCAAAGGGCAGATGGCGAGCAAATTCAAACACTACGGGGGTACAGAAACGGCTAAATGCACGGGTCGAGACGCTGAGCTTGATCGGCGGGAGTCGAAAATCGCCGCACGTTTGCGCGCCCGTTGTGGTGTCGCTACTACTGCTGCATCCACGTGTCAAGCAACTCCCATGCAGGGGAGGGAGTTTCTCTGCTCTTTCTGAGCGTGTCAGCTACAACAACCAGCGATCCTTTTGAGCAGGTCGATCACTGATGTGCCAGATTCCCACAGGCCTGTACTAAGAATAATCTTATCGTTCGCAAGCCCAAACACAACGCGGGCCCACTGGACCGCTCGATGAACGGGCACGCAACTACCATGGTATCTTTATTGTTTTTCATTCCACTCGCTTATTATCCCGTCCCTGCTTCAGCAACGTGGGTGGAGGCCGCGGGGTCGCAATGATGAGCGCTTTCGTGCGGTGCACCCCCTCAATGGTGAGGGGGGGAGACGGAATCAGCAATATCCTGCTCCTCGTCAACACCCCTTAGCCAGGAGTAGGCCGACATGTCCATGAACCGGCGGGGGGGATCGTAGCGCATATCATGTTACCTTCTGTAGATCGTCTTGAACGCAAGTACAAGCGTACGTGGTGTTGCGAGCGTCTACTCCAGCACGAGCGGCACCACCCAAGGAACATTTTCAATCGTATCGTAGGCACCCATTCGTGTTTGGTGTCTTCACATTAGAAATCGTTCCGATCTCTGTCCAGTACCGCTTCTTCCCTGCTCTTTACGCCAGAGCAAGAAGACTACTTCTACGGTCAAAAAGTGCAAGTTCACCAAAAACTTGGCAGAACAAACAGAACAAACCGCCGCCGTAGTATCCATCAACAAGAGAAGGAAGCTACTAGCTGGCATCACCAAGACCAGAGAAACGCAGCCATAACAAGCAACACGGCGGTTGGACTGCCTAGCAAAGGTTTGTTTATCACGAATAAAGAACAGGAAGGGGGCGCGCACACCCAAGCCCTAACCCCGATTCTATACTCTGTCCGGAAGGTACATTTACTCAGAAAAACCTGCGTAGAATACTGCGACATGGTTTACCCCTCCGGCGAGCACAAGGGCGCAAGAAGGCCGATGCTGCTGTGATCTGTGAACATACGTACCGCCAGCAGTGTGCTAGTCCCACCAGGGACAGATGAATGGCCGAAGAATTTTTCAGCATCATCGGCGAAATGCCCGCTTCGACCAATAGACTTGCGAAGTACACACAGATTGGGTACTCTAAAGCCGACACTTCACCAGAGGCAGCCCCACCCACCGAACGAATTTCGCTCCCTACTGCTGCGGAGGCACAAAGTTGCATCGTGTCACCACCACTGCTTGTAGCAGGCGAGCATGGCGTCGCCTGGACGCAACAAACATCGCCGAGAAAAAGGATGATGCCACGGGGCCCCTATTCATACAAACTCCCGACACGGTTACGGGACCTTCCTTCATGTCTTTCCCGGTGTCATACTATCGTGCCAGCGTCGTCAACACCAGAAACACCGTACGCCGCCAAGTCAGCATCGCCTACGCCGACGGGCTCTGCCACCGCCCCTCTCCCCCCGTTTCCTTGGCTCTTAGCAAGGAGACTCGGCAAGAGCAGCACGGACACGGCCAGCTCGGACATGAGCCGGAGGAAGCAGGCCATGTAGAAGACGAAGATGGGGTAAACGATGATCGCGACTATGATGCCGAGCGCGGTTCCCTCCCTCAAGATCCCGAAAAGCACCAGCGTCGACCACACCACGTTCCACACCTGACCGACGAAGTGCAACCTACGCGCCAGAACAATGCCTTGGAACTGCAAAAAAAGAAGAACAAAAACAGCATTAGACGAGTAGCGCGCGGGGGGGGGGGGGGGGGGGGGGGGGGACTGGGGGGGAAAAGGAAAAAAAGGGTTTTACCCCCGGGTGGGCCCCGGGAAATCCAGGGATTTTCAAAGGGAAAAAAAAAAAAAGGGTTTC